TCGCCCAATGAGTCATCTCTGTCGGATCCGCCCTCATCCTCAAAATCCTCATCGGGAAACGCTAACTTCCGAGCCTTTGCTTCCTCGGCCTTGGCGATCTCAAGTTCAGCATATATGTCGACACTTTGAGCAAGGATCCCCTCAAGAACCTCCCTTCGAGCCTACCACGTCGAATGATCAACCATCCCCCTGGCCTGCTCGAGGGTGGCTTCAGCATCAACTCTGTATTGATCCGCAGTAGCCTGAGCCTTAATATTGGCAGCGGCCACTTCGGATCTGGCAACCTCGAGCTCCTTGGCCAGATTGGCTAAATTGTATTCGAGCTCCTCGACCTTCTTCGCCTGGACCAAGGCATTGTTCCTTGCATATCGAAGTTGTGACTTGGCAGAATCCAGCTCTTCTTGAACGGTCTCCTTTTGTGCAGCCAGGATGTCCATACATCCCTTGAACCGATCGGCTTCAGCTCGCACTTCGTTTATTTGCCCTTGGAAGCCCTTGATCTGTTTGAGCCTCTATCGATCCTGCAAAATGGAATTGTTAGTCGTTATCTCCAACTCGTCCTCACTATCATGAAGAATTCAGAATACCTGCTCGGCCAACTCTTCATGCACGTTTCAAGCCTCCACCAGGTCCACCTGAAGCTTCTCACTGAGAATCTTGTAAGTGTTGCACTTCTCAGTGAGATCCTGGACCTCGACCTTGCGTTCCTCTCGGGCTCGAAGAAAGGCCTCGTGGTGCAACACCGGAGCCTGCAAGAAAGGAAGAAATATTAGAGATATCCACAAGTCAAAAGTCAAGAAATGACAATGGTCCTTTAACTTACCCGATTCAGAGCATGCTGGGCCTCGTTGAACAAGCAGGAAACATCCACTCCATTCATTTTGGCTGGATCCTCCTCAGTGACCAAGCATCGAAGGTAACTTGCCACCCCTATGGGGGCAGATAAAACTTGTGTATCTTTCAGGATCAAGATGATAAGAGGACGCTTTCGATCGGGGTCAACGCTAGGAGCTGGGAATTGGTTAGTCATTGTATAGCTCGAGGAAGCCTCATTCGAGCTCTTCCTTGGTATGTCCAAATCACCCAAACCGGTGATATCTTCCACATCAGTGAAATAGCCACGGAAAAAATCTTCCCCTCCGTGGGCCCCCCTCTCCGTGATAAGTTTTTGCAGCCTGAGCGTAACGTATCATCGAATCCAAAACTGGAGGGAATGAGGAGGAGTCCCCGATCACTATTTCCCCAAGTGGGTATGTAGAGGCATCATCTTTGTTTCGGGGAGCCTCGAGTTCGGTTTCTACCCCAGCCTCAACCACCTCCTCGATGGCCTCCCCATCTCGAGGTGAGGCATCTTCAACTCCTGTTGGCTCGGGCTCATCAGACCGGGGCAAATCAGCTTCGGCTCCCGCCTGTCTAGTAGTTCTTTGAACCTCGATGCCAGACCGCACACGAGGCACCAATCCGGAATTTTATTCTTCATCCTCATTGTCGGTCTCATCCGATAGTTGGTGGACGGGCTCTAGAGATATGGATAACATCCCCCTTAGGCTTACGGGGTCTCCTGGCCGGCCTTTTCTTCTCCGGGCTTGAGGAACTCGGAGCCTCTTTCCTTTTCTTCTCTTTGCCCTGCTTTGGGGCAGACTGGGGAAGGAGAGCCTTTTTTCAGCAGGGGGGACCTCATTGGCACGTCCTTCCCGAGGCGTACAATGTGGAAAAGAAGAGTAAGTACAAATAACAAAGTCTGAATGGAAACCTTGCCAAGGAAAAAATATTACCATGGTTTCGAGCCTCCCATCGGACCCTTGACAACTCCATCCAAGCACGCTCGGAATAAGTTTTTTGCGACACCAATCCCTCGACCCATTGCCTCAGGTCGGGGATCACTTCCGGCATAACGGCCTTGGCTACAACACAAGAACTTAGATGAGGGGAAAACAAGAAAGCTGAACGGCAATAATAGATACACGAAAGGCCAAGCAATGCTTACGTTCCATGTTCCACCTTTCAGGGAACGGCATATCTTCGGCGGGAATTAGATCCGAAGTCTTTATTCGAACAAACCTGCCCATCCAACCTCGGTCTCGAGCCTCGCCTATGCTTGAAAATGGGGGTTTGGTGGCTCGGCGGTAAAGTTTGATCATGCCTCCCCGATAAAGCTGAGGGTCGTAGAGGCGTATGAGGTGATCGAGGGTAAAAGGATGCCCCTCGATCTTACTAACAAAGAATCGGAGGAGGAGCACGATCCTCCAAAATGATGAGTGGATTTGGCCTAGAGTGACATCGTACCTCTTACAAAAGGCAACGATGATACGGTCCAATGGACTTATTGTGAAGGGGTAGGTGTAGACAGTCAGATACCCCTCCTTGTAAGTAGTGATGGATTCTTCGGGGCTGGGCACCATGACGTCGTCCCTGCCTACCCAGTTGCACTCCTCTTTCACCTTCTCGAGGAGGCGTCCGGTAATTCGTACACATATATACCTCGATATGGGTTCACATCGGCCCGGTGTCGATGGTGTGTTCTCCACCTTGAAATCAGCAGCACTGGCACACTTCGTCGGAACGAAGTCCGAAAGAGGATGTTCCTCCGCGGCAGTGCCGGCGGACTTTGATGAAGAGGCGGTTTCTTTCTGCGTCACAATTTTTGACGTTTTCGCCATTTTGGGTTTGGGTTTGAAGAAAGAAGAAGAAAATAAGACTTGGTGTTTTGAGAGAGGGTTGATAACAAAACCTAAAGATTTTTCATAACGGAAAAACTTAAAAGATGTAAAAAAAACTTTGGAGATTAGAAGAAATTGAAGGTAAAGTTTGAATCAATGATAAAATGGCATATTTATGGGTTTCACGGCGACGGTTCGAAACCACTAGTGGCCGACCATCAACTGGCACGCATTAAATGCCTGGAAAACTACACCGATGGGACGTTTCGGTCACATCTGCCTTACGTTACGGGAATGACATCTTGACAGGTCGAGAATCGAAGGCTCAATTCGTTTCTTGTCATTACACTCCAAAAAACGAGGGGACTATTTGTATACAGTTAAAACTGGGCCCACCCGATTTTACTGATTTACCGAGACTAGTGTGAAGGATCGAAGATCGAGCCCGTAATAGATCAGACTAAGGCACGAGGACAAGGTACCGAGTTCGAGATTCGAGGTACCTTTCAAGATCGAGGCCGGTTGTGATTGAGACGAAATGAGACATACATCGAGCAAGATCAAAGACAGCATACTAATAGAAAGGCGAGATATCCGTGACTGGTCGAAGATCATGGCGAAAATCTTGGAACGAATCAAATCTAGGACGGTTAATTAGCTAATCATGGGATTTCCTTCTGTAATTAAAGTTATACCATAATTATGATTCCTCTACTATATAAAGAGGGGTTCCAATCATTTGTAAGGGACTTACATTCTGGCAGATCAAAACAATATAACACTCTTTTTAGCTTATACTCTCTTGTTCAATAGCTTGCCTTATTTTTACTTGTTCTGGTATCAATCAGCTCGAGGGCATTCTAACTCGAGGGTTGAATTTCGTCTCAACATTGGTTTGCTTTACTTTATTGTTAATTTCTATCACTAATCTTCACATTTATCAATTGATATTAAACCAAATTATAAGTTTAATTGTTATCTAATTTTTAAGGGTAAAAACAAATATTTGTAGATATTTAATTAATTTTTAATACATTACAAGGACTGTGCAAAAGCTATTGGGTTCCCGAAAACCCGCATGTTGCCCTCTAGATCCGCCACTGCTCCAGGGGGTGTGATGTAGTCAGCCTAAGCAAGCTTGACCTATAGATTAAGCGGGTTAAAGAGGTTTAGTGTCCAAAATTTATTTATTTTATTTCTTGAAGTTAACGAGCATCGGTTATTAGTTAACTTTATAATTAACAAGCAGGCAAAATGCAGTATCAGTTTTCGATCACTGCCTTCAATAATAATAGTAAATAGTATTGAAGTAGAAAAGAGTTTTCTTTTGCTTTGTTTTTATTTTAGATGTTTTGTTCTTTTTTTCAGTAATTTTCTACTATATATAAATTGGAAAGGGGCGGAACAAACAGCAACATTGACATTTCATTAGTGTGTTTCTGCTTTGCTGTGTGAGACATGACCAAAGGCCTCACTCATATTTTTAAAAATGACACTCACGAGTCACGTCCTCCTCATTAAGTGATTTGAAGGTCTATTCGGATATTCAGTTTGAGAAGCAACTAATGTAAAGCAAATGTGGCAATTTGTTGGGGTTTTTGGTATTATTTTGACATGGAATGAAAATAGAATAGCTTTTGTTAAACAAAAGATAATATTAGCAAGGAAAAATTAATCATATCATAATTTTTACTTTGTACTATTTTTCAAATGGTGGAGAGAATAGCTTTAATTAATGCTCATGCACCTTTTTTTAGCGTTAATTAATTTGGTAAATCACAATTTCATGACTTCTTTAAGATTCTTACATATGTTTAGGACGCCAGTATATTGGATTTGCTATATACTTATGTGAGAGCAATTTCGCGCGCTACCCAAAAAGACATGCAATGAATTAATGAGCACAATGTTCAAACATTGAATTTAACGTGAGAAAAGATGGCGAATTGAGAGGAATAGTCAACATTTTTACGCTTTAGCTTGATGGGTGGTGAGACCCAATATTGACTTTCTTAAGGTCCTCTCTTGCCGTTGATGAAATCATAAGTTATTAGCAAATCAAGAGAGAACTTTAATATACATCATCTTTATACTCCCTATATATATGTCTCAAATTATTCGTGATTTTTTAAAATAGTTATTTCGAATTATTTGTCATTTTAGAAGTATAAGTCATATTATTTTATTCTCATTTTACTAATTGTTCTTGAAGATAAAAATAGTACATAAATAGAGTAAATATTCAATAAAGAAAAATTATATCTTACGATAGAAATAAGGGTAAAATAGTCAAAAATTTCTCCTAATTAAGATTTTCTTAATAGGCACGTAAAATAAAAATACACAATAAATAATTTGAGACGAAGGAAGTATAATTTAACATCAAATCAGAAATAACCTTAGGAAATGAATGAAGGAGGCACATTAACTTCTCTCACAGGGTGTTATAACCAAACACCTCTGCAAGGAAAAATTCCCAAGCTTTTCTTTTTTACAAATCTAACCCATAAAAACAAACAATTTCATGTGCTTCTTAGGTCGACGTTAAAGATAAAGAAAAAATAATAGTAATAATAATAATAATAATAATAATAATAATAATAATAATAATACAGTGAAGAAAGATGTCGAAAAAAAAGAAGCTATACACTAAGTATTTGCTAGTGTATTGCCTCATGTTGAGCCCATCTCTCTTCACTGAAAACCTTTTCAATTAATACTAGTAATCACTTTTCAACATTTCTCTTATGTTAAAAGGGCAACGTGGTTGCACTAAGTTTCAATTATGTGCGAGATCCGAGAAAAAGCCAAATGCAGCCTTATCATGTATTTCTGCAAGAGGCTATTTCTATGGCTCGAACCCGTGATCTCTGGTCACATGGCAGCAACTTTACCAGTTACGCCAAGCTCCTCTTCAACAATTCTCCTTCACTGCAGCATGGAATTAGTTAATGATCGGAAAACGACTTCTTCACAAGGAATAGTAATGCCCATATCGTGATTGAACCCAAACTCCTCTTCGGCACAACGGAGAAGGGACTGAAACTGAGGGTGAGTTAAGAAAGAAATTGGTATAATATATCGTTTTCGGTTCTCTCCTACGTAGACAGCAAAATGACCTTTGGGCACATCAATGGGAAGGTCATTTTCGTCGTCGTAACCATTTTTCTTTCCCAAACTCGAACACCTTTTCAAGATTTGCTTTAGAATTGCAGCTTGTGACAACTTGTTTGATTTTCTGATGGCCATTTTAATTTGTATTTTCTTTTTTGAAAGTTTGAGAATGTAAATGAAAGAAAGTTGAGAGTTTTGGGAAGAAGAAAAAGAAAACACTTCTTTCTTTTGAGAGAAAGAAATGCTAAAAATTAGAAAGTGAGTTGTGTAATGACAGAGGGATGTTCAGGTATTTATGAAGGAAGAAGACCCTAACTATGACTTTTTTGTTTTAATTTTAATTTTGAAGTGGGGTGGGGAGCATTATACACAGGCAGATTTATTAGCTCTATAACAACAGGTGGAAATATATACTATAATACATATATGTATATTTGTTTTAAGATATATATACACACCGATAAAAGGGCAACCCGGTGCACTAAGCTCATAATGAGGTCCGAAGAAGGGCCAGGTCACAAGGGTTTATTGTATGCAACCTTACCCTGCAAGAGGTTGTTTCACGGCTCGAACCTGTTACCTCCTGGATATATGACAGCAACTTTACCAGTTACTCAAAGGTTAAAGATTTTTTATGTTATTAGTGCAGTTTAACTTATTATAATAGATTATTGTTATACGATATTTTCCTGTTATCGTATCAGGCTTGCTATGAAGAGTTACATGTTTTTACGTTATCCTAGATCAAACTTAACCTGATAGTGCAAAAATATTTATACACTGTCAGTACATAGAATTTAAGATCATGTATATTTTAAGTTTGTAGTTATCGTTACAGAAGAGTAAGGTATACAATAATACTATGTACTTATCTTTTATTAAAATCCTAACGATAACCTGTTTCTGTTTCTGCACAAGACAGAAAACACAAGATATGTTGATGTATGTGTAATAGAGAAAGGACAAGGTGGGGGCAAAAACCCATTAGGTTTACATTTTGTATGCTGGCCCTCCTTATGGCAAAGCGGCCCCTTTTCTCTTTGTCATTCTAAGTTTCTTGTTTTTTTTTTTAAGTATAGGTTTTGGAACATTGAATTTGAATTCTGTTCTGGTCTAATGTTCAGTTTGTGCTGTGGTGTATTTGGTAAACGATATTTAATTATTTATGATGTCCAGAGACATGTCTTTCACTGCCAAATTGGATGGTTGCAAGTTTCAACATCCAGACTTTAATGGTATTTGTTTCCATTTCCATCATTCTGTCTCACCTTCTGCTCAATTTTTCTTTTCCTAATAAATAGAGGTTCACTTTTTGCCTCATATCTACTTCTGTGGCTCCTGTCATTCATCCTTTCATTTTTTTCATCCGGTTTCAATAGCCATATAGAAGGAGAACTTTGACGTAACTGGTAAAGTTGTTGCCATGTGAGCAGGAGGTGACGGGTACGAACCGTGAAAACAGTCTCTTACATAAATGCAGGGCAAAGGTGCGTACAATACACCCAAGTGGTCTGACCCTTCCCCGAACCCCGCGCATAACGCGAGCTTAGTGCACCGGACTGTCCTTTTTTTCCTCCTTCAGCACCCACATTAAGACTTAACTAATTCAGACTCGTGCCGAAAAGTCCCACTTTGAAATCATAGTGAACAATAGTTGAACACGAAAAGTTGTTTCGAGTTGGTGTAAATGACTTCTTTTGTGTTTTTCGGTTCGGAAATTTAAAAGACATAATGAGATTAAAAATTAAAAAGAAAAAAGAAAAGGAAACGTAACTACGAGTCCGGAACCTAAATATTGTGTTTTTGGACTCAAAGTACATTAATAGGTGTAAAAAAAAAGTTATATAGCGTATAAATAGAAGATGCTATACCTTAACGGTAACTTTTGCCGTTAAGGTATAGCGTCTTGTTTTTAGACGCTATGCTGACTGACCATTTGACGTGACAGCATAGCGTATTGATTTTATACGCTATACATAGCGTTAAAAAAAAATGTTATATCTTGATTATGGACCCACCAATAATTCAACTGACATAACAGTAATTTAAATTAGTATAGCATCTATTTAAAGAACGCTATACGTCAAAAAAGTTTCCACGTCCCGGCTAGCCATTTCCTATATATAATGGTTAGGATTTTAGGAAAATTCGTTCACAAAAAATTCCAACTCCCATTCATGAATATTTTCTTGTTGTTAAATTCTTAAGCAATTTTTCCGTAATGTCTGAAGAGCGTAGAATAAGAGTTTCATTATATTGGGGGGTTGAGGTTGTGATGGAGAATAACTCTGTGAGGCATAGTTTATCTCCACAGGGTCATGTTAAATTACCACTTACAATGGAGTACGATAAATTGATATCGTTGTTATGCAAAAAAATGGGTGTGAGGAAACGTTTAGTGATACTCAAAGTAACCGGAAGTTATCCGTATTCCGTCACTCTGCAAGGGACTGCTTTTTACTCGGAGTTAAACATCTACGATGATGAAAGTTTGAGGGATTTTCTGAGGACTCCGGATGAATACCGGGAATATCTTGTAATCAAAATGCTGGATATGTACGTCAAGGTCGAAGAAGTTCCAAACAATGAGGTTGCCGGACAGGTTCCGGATAACCCCCAGTCATCGGGTGGTTATTCTGGAGGAGATTTTGCCGGACAGGTTCCGGATGAAAGAGTTTTCCTTGACTTAAACTTATCCCCGCCTGCTTTACATAATTCACAAGACGAGTGGTAAGCTTCAATTTTCCTTTGTGTTTTACGATGTACATTTTTGTTGTATTGAATTTATATTAACGCTCATATATTTAACAGGGGGTACAGGCCGGATACGAATTTTACAAATTATGAACCCAAGCACAGTTTTGGTGTGTTGGATCATGGTGGTCCATCCGGGAGCCATCACCTTATTGAAAATGTACATCATGGAATTTCATCACATTACGACTTGTAAGTGAAGTGATACAGCTATATGGAAAGTATTTATTAAATTTAGTATCTTATTATTTTGTTGATTGTGCAGTGAAAACGAGCAAGTTGAACCAAATGTACTCACTCAATTGCCCGAAGACGACGTATTAAATCGGGATCTGGCAGATGCACAGAGTGAGGAAGAGAACAGTGATTACGACAACAATGCTGATGAATCTGGAGACGAGACACCCTTTCCTCGTGAGGATGATGATGAGGAGGATGAGAAGGAAGGACCTGATTTGACGAGAGAGTATGCTCCACCCCCCCCCCCCCTCCCCCCTTGACGAAGAGTGTACGAATCCCAAGTGCCATTTCATTCAAGGGAGATTCCTTACCTTGATAACTTGCCAAGCATGCCGGATGCTCACAAGGGATTTTGATGAAATTCGGACAGCAATGTGGGATGAGTCTAGACCAACGGTGCTGGCAAAGGGCATGCTTTTTCCTGATAAAGCGCGCCTAAGCAGGGCTTGTAAAATGCACAACGTAAAAGAGTGTCGTGAGATGACGGTATGGGAGTCAAGTCCGGTTGTATACAAGGTTGTTTGTCGCAGGTGGTTTTGGCCATGTCATTGGATGTTGCGTGCGAGCAAGAAGAAGACAGGTCTGTGGAAAGTGGGTAAATACATTCCCACCCACACATGCGAAATGGACACATTCAACGGGAATCACTTCAACTTGGATATTGACTTGATTTCTCTTGTTCTTATTCCACACATCGAAGCGTCCATAAGGTATAAAAGCAAAGAGTGCATTACAGCAGTCCACCAGGAACATGGCCATACCATTACTAAAAGAAAGGCATATCTCGGACGCAAACGCGCGTTTGAAATAGTCTATGGTAACTAGGATAAGTCATTTACAGATCTGCCTAGGTACATGGCTGCACTGCAGCAGTTTAACCCTGGGACGGTTGTTTAATGGAAGCTTGAGCGGAGTCCAGGTAAACCAGAATATATATTCAATTACGTGTTCTGGGCGTTTAAACCAGCAATTGATGATTTTGCGCATTGTCGGCCCGTAATATCCATAGACGGCACTCATGTCTATGGGAAGTACGATATCAAGCTGTTGATAGCCATGGCAGTAGATGATAATGGAAAGATATTTCCTCTAGCTTTTGCTATTTGTGCCAATGAAAGCCAAGAGACGTGGACGCTGTTTTTGAACCACATGAAAGAGCACGTTGTCAAACAACGTTTCGGTATTTGTCTAATATCTGATCGGCACGGTGGTATCTTAAGTTCTATGGAGAACTTGCCTGCATGGCAAGAACCTTATGCCTACCATCGTTACTGTGTTAGGCACTTGAAAGCCAATTTCCAGAAGGCATATCCCAACAAGGATCTGCATGATTTGATGTGGATGGCAGCAACAGACCACCAACAGCATAAATTCCGGACGCACATGGAATATATCAGGCAAGAAGACGAGGCAGCCTATCGTTGGTTAATGTGACATGACCCTGAAAAGTGGACTTTGCATGCGGATGGTGGTAGATGACGGGAAACTCTAACTACAAATGTGTCAGAGTCTTTCAACGGGTTATTGAAGTCGGCAAGAGGATTGCCTGTCACAGCCATGGTGCGGATGTCGTTCAAGCAAATGGCGGAGAGGTTCGTTGAAAGGTCTGCAGCTGCAACGTCATTGATCGAAAGGGGTGTTGAATTTATGCCAGCGCCGATGAAGAGATTTGAGAAATACAGACGACGAGCACATTGGCATTCATTTTTGCAGTATGATAAAGAAAGAAATATTTTTGAAGTTCGCACCGCAATCCATCAAAATCGGGGGAATAATGTACATACTGTAAATGAATCTACAAGGTTATGCTCTTGTGGAAAATGGTCCATCTACCACATGCCTTGCTCACATGCCATCAAGTGCTTTCAACAAGTTGGTTTAGGTGCAACCAACGATGTTGATCAACAATATAGTGTTGCGAAGTACCTAAACACATATAGTGGGCAATTGCAGCTAGTGGGTGCTAAGCATTATTGGCCGCCTGAACCATTTAAAATGGTGTGTAACAAGTCCTATTTGCGTCGAATACAGGTGCAGAAGAGAACGCGTATACGGAACCAAATAGATGTTAGTGATACCGTTTATGCGTGCAGATGTGGTATATGCTCGCAAACAGGACACGACCGTCGAAAATGTCCTTCAGCTGGTTTGGGTGGCAATTGTACTCATGCTCGTGGTGGTCCTTCTTCTATTATGCCTAACTATCAATGAGTTTATGTTGTAATATTTAGTTATTTTGTTTATGTTGCAAGTTTTATAAAATAAAATTATGTTTGTTAA